ATCTTTTCCTTGTTCTGAGGCTAAGGTAAGGGTAGCAGACCTTCATGAACTGTGAAGAAACATGTTCTGCATCTCTGGCCTTTTCTTTGCTTCACCCTTCTCACTCTGTGATATGCAATCCTTGTTTTTAACCCAAATTTAAAGCATGGTATGGCTTGATGTCCACACATTGTCCTTGCACACGGGGTCAGCCTAAGGGATTCTGTACTTGCTGAGCTGTGGCAGAGATCCTGTCCTCTGAAGGTGCTCTATAAATCAGGGAAGCTTAAAGGTAAGACCACAGAGCAGAGAGAGATTAAGAAAGTGATTGAAGTGTCTGTAGAAGTCTCCTCAGCAAATGACCTTGTAGGTTCCTCATGCTGTTGTGGGTAGTAGTTAGTGCTCTGGGGCGTAGCAGCTTCCCAGTTCCTGGAATTCCAGGAGTAAATTCATCTCCCAGCTTGACTGGATAGAGAAATTGAGATATAAAATGTGTATTTGGGGCTGGACATCTGTAGTTCCCTGAGAGTTGCATTTCCCTTCAGCCTGGAGTTCAGGATTTACTCCCAAAATAGGCGTACAAGAATTATTAAATGTGAAATTAATCTAATTCTTCTGGACAAGCTGGGGCAGGGCAGGAAATCTGGCAGATTCCCTTACTTCTGTCCCATCTGCAATGATAGTTTGTAAACCTCTGCTTACCTTTCTGGATTTGTAAGCGACCGGAACCTCATTTGGAGAATCCTGAGTTTGAATTTTGGGCCAATGACAGATCCTGTGGAAAACGTCAAGGAAATTCTTTCTACATTTTCAAAATCCTGGTCGAATCCAATTAGCAAAGTGATTTGGTTGTACTGCTGGAAGGCTGCAGCTTCTCTAAAGATAAAGCAGACAAAGTGTCAGGGAGTCACCAGGGAATAGTACTGGGTTTAATATAGCCAGTATAATATTAGAAACAGGGCTGGGGGAGGAGGACAGAACTCACAATTCATTTCTGATTTACAGGAAGTGGGGTTTGGATCCAAATCTCCAGGTGTGGACCTGCTCAGCCACTTTTGCACTCAGTTATTTGGGGTGAGAGTGGGGACACAGAGGCCTGATGCCCTTTGCTGTGGTCCCAAACCAGAGTCCTCACTGTGTTTCTGCTTTGAACTGAGCAGACTAGACCCAAATGACACAGAGGGGGAGATGTGTTTTTCCTTCTGCTTCAGTGGAAGCTGAGGAGAGCTGTGCTGCTGGCTGAGATTGTCTGAGAAGGGTCCAAACCAAAGGGCTGGGCTCTGTCAGCTGGTGTGCACTGCCAGGGAAGCCCTGAGGCAGGTATGCTGTTGGGTCTCAGCAGAGAAATCAGAGGAGGATATCTTGCCTCCTCACAGATCCAGCCTGTCCCTAGTGGTTTGCTAACACTGACAGGTCATCACATGTGTAGGACTTACTGGTTCACTTTAGATTCTGCCTTCCTCCCAGCTTCATCAGCTAACACAATGCTGAAGGTGCCTCTTCTGGTGCCTTTGTTCCATGTAACAATATCCACAAAGTAGTGATAAACTGCAGGGAGAGAGAGTGAACGTGGTTAGACTGGCTGCATGCCCCTCTCAGAGCTGAGCTGCAGGTGCAGGACATCCTCCTCCCATTTCCTCACCTGACACAACCCATTCCATTTATCTCTAAAATCTCCCTCTCCCTCCTACGTGCCCCCTCCCTCTGCAGAGATTTCTAACAGGAGTATTAAGAGGTGTCTGGGAGGGCACCACAGCAAGGTGTGTGAGATGATCCCTATACAGCTGCCAGCACACTGCCTTTTACCATTCATGTTCACATTCCCTTCTCTTCCTCCTGTCTGCCCCTGAACCCCTTCATTTCTCTTCTCAGCATCATCCATTTGTCTTCTCTGTCACAGAGCAGAATCATCTGTTCTTTACTCTGAGCTCTAAGTCCTGAATTCACTTGCTGACCAGCCCTGAAGCTCAGGCCATAACCCCTGCCCATGGCTTGGCACGTGGGTGGTGGCAAGGGTGAGGAGAAACCTTGGTGGAACTTTTTTCACCTATTCCCCCTTGTCTGGGCCCTTTCCCTGTGCCTTTCCCTTTTCCCCAGGATAGTTTTTTTCACCTGTTCACCTCAGAGAATGTTTTTGACTCTCACTGTTCCCACACACATCTTACTTGCACAGAGTGGTGTGTTGTTTTGAAACACACTTTAGGAACTCCCCTTTTATCTTTTGTTTGCCTGTTCTCAACAACTTCCCTAGCACTGTAAGCAAGATGAGCCTGTTTTTGCCCATCTAGTGAGTAGCACAGCACCAGGCAGGTCTGCAGATAAGGAATGCAGCAGCACTACTGCCAAGTTCAATCCAGCAGCCACTGGTTTTGTTTCTAAAATACTGGTTGTGATCCTGATAGCAACAAACCATCTCTGCTCACCTGCTGAAGGAGACAATACACAAAGAAAAATCATCTCAGAAATCTGAGTTACTTACTGCAAAATGGATCTTTGTCTGCTGTATCAAAAAACATGCTGGTCACTGGATGGCTCTGTTGTGTTAAATAGCTCTTCCACTTATGGGCATAATAACCTAGAGGTGACAGGAAAGAGTTACTGCACAGGTACATAAGCCCCTAAATTGCTGAAAATAACAAAGCAAGTGTTTAAGAAATGGTGTATTGCTTGCCAGCTGCCAGGCAGTGCTGTGATACACACTCCTGTGCTCTGCAGATTTATCCCAGGGCTGATTTTACTTGTGTAACTAAAGCCCTGGGATAAAGAGTGTCTAAAATATGCCTGGTTCCTGTTCAGTATGTATTTTACAACTGATCTTTTCCCACATCTGGTATCTATGGTCAAGGAGGATTTCATTTCACCATCAAGAGGAGTTGGTGGTGTTTAAAATTTCTTAGAAAAGATTGTGCTGTAGCAAGAACACACCCCTGTCCCTCCAACCCTGCAACTAATGGGCTTGAATACATTGGTTTTGTAACTTCAATGTAAAAGATTTCAAGTCTTGTTTTGGCTTTTCTAGTTCTGGATCCTTTACACGTGGATTTCTGTTCTAGATCACGACGTGATGCAATTGTACAAAGAACAGGGAAATTTCTCAGGGTTTTGGGGTTTTTTTTTGCCTGCAGCAGAGGCTTGTGCTCCTGCAGAGGTCGAGGAGAGACCACCTCAAAAACCTCAAGTGGAAATAACCTGCATGCTCCAAGCTGCAGTAATGGTGGGTGGCTCTACCAGACACGGGTGTTCAGGATGGATCCTCACCTAGGCTGGGGCATGGCATGGGCCAGAACGCCTCGCAGCTGGTGCACTGCCCCTTCCTGTAGCTCCTGTACGAGTCACACGGGTAGGCAGTGATGTTGCAGCTCTGCTTCAGGGATGCCATGAAGAGGAGAACCGACCTCTGGTGGTCACATTTGAAATACTGCAGTCCTTAATCACACACAGGGAAGGAAGATTGGGTTAGCAGGCCTCATACTTCAGGAAAACGGTATTAATGCCCTTGTAAAAAGAAAAAAAGACCCACTAGTGGACAGTCCCTGACTGGTCTGGACATAGACTGAGCTGGGGAGCACTGGGCTGTGGCAGCACAGCAAGTGGGCACTGCCCTCTCTCCCTTTGAGTGCACTCAGCTCTGCCTCTGTCTACTTTACTTTTCTTCTTGCCTTTTTTCTTTTTAAACCTGTATTTGTTCATGTTATTCCTGCAGTTCTAGAGGATCCAGCTATGGATCTCATTCCATCCCTTTCTGAGCTCAGGTCTAACAGCTGAATAGTGCCTTTATTTTTTTTTTTTATGGCACATGGCTTTGCCATTTTGGTTTAAAAAACTATTCAGCAACACATAACTAATAAAATGAGTTGTTGCATGAGTAGCAGAAGGAGTGAGGCATCATTGCCTGTGGATTTTTGTTTCAGGCTAGATTCCTGTATGGATTCTGTCAGGTCTGATAAGGGTTGAGTTCAAATGACTGCCTTTCCTTCTGCAAGGCATCTTGCTTACTCATCTTTCACAAAACCAGTTCTGCTGCCAAGCTGGAAAGGAAAAAAGCTTTCTGGCATTCAAGACTATCTGCCAGTCACTGCACATTGGATTTGGTATGAGTGCCTACCCCATGTTCACCTTGAACTGGTTTTCTGAACAGGTTTTTGCCATTGCTAGTCCTTAGGGTTTTGTGTAAACGTTAAAAGAAATTAAAAATCCCACGGGTTTTCTAAACGTGATAGCAAAATGAAAGCATAAATCTACCTGATGGCTTTTTGCATGGAAAATTAATCCCATTTGCATTTGTGACGGAGAGCAGAAGGATCACCCCTGACTCATATGTCTGCCTGGTGCACATCAGCTAAACTCCTGCTACGTCAGTGTGCCCCATCAGTGCTGGGAAGAGATTGCTTTCCTGGCTTTCCTGGAATATGGTTTTAATGTCTTTCCCAAGCAGCGATGATATTTCTTTGGCCGCCTTCTCTTTTTCTGCTTGGAAACGTTTTGTCAAGTGTTTGTGTGATTCAAGGTGGAGTTAATTACCAGAAAATATCGTCAGTGGACAGCCAGGCTGGTCGGGCCCGCCGTTGGGGTAGAAGTCTATGTGGCCTAGGGCTTCTGAGTAACCTAGTCCTGACACAAGAAAATACATCAGGAGTGAGGGAGTGTTAAATTGTGAAGTGCAGAAGAAGGAAATTAAGGAACTGGGGAAAAAAACACAGTAGTTTAGCTCTAGGATGCCTGCCTGTGAAGGAATATCATCATGAATGTCTTTCATCTCTTTAGGCAGCAAGACCAAACAGTTGTGACCCAGCTGCGTCATTTTAGCAGTGGTATCAAATACCTAAAATAGGGCTGTTTGTGTGAGAGTACAAAATCGGGCTTTTTGTGTCCCTGGCTGCCGGAGAGCCGTGAGGAATGCAGCTGAAGCAGCGGCCCCCGTGTGGGCGGCAGAGGAGCAGGGAGCCGGGCAGCGCCGCGGGGTGGGCCTGAGGGACGGGGGTCCCCAGCACCGCTGCCCGGCACCCCTTGGCCACCTCACGGTGC